TGCATCGGGGCTCAACGTCGTGGAGAGGGGGTAAGGAGGAAGAGAGGAAGGCTCGTGGCGCAACAAGTCGACGAAGGAGGCGCGGCTCGAGGGGTCGCGCGCCCGCCCCGGCGACTCGGCGGTTCACTGACACCGCGCACTCGACGCCCGTACGGCACCGCCGAAGGACACGCGCCCGCTCCGGCCGCTCGCATGCTCATCACCGCTCTCTGCCTCCTGGTGCTCGCCGCCAAGGCCCTCTGCGCTGCTATCAAGTTCGTCGGGCGCGGTCCTCTCCTCTTCTTCTGACTGTCCTCCCTATCCCTTCCGCGGCGACGTCCACCGAACGCCGCCCCTCCCATACCCATCCCCCACCGACGCCACCACCACCAGCACAACAAATATCCCCATTGCCCCTCAATAACACCCACGAGTTCACCCACGAGTCCCCGTCTCATTGGGGGAGTCGTAGCCGTCTCGTAGCGCCGGAGCGATGCTCGGCTTGGCGGCGCCCGAGCGCGCACTGAGCCTCGCGAATGGAGTTAGCGGCTGCTGCGGGTGAAGCGAATCTCGAGTGCCGTGGCGCTCGTAAATCCGTCCGTCCAGTGGACATCCTTCGGTCGGACCGTCGCTCGAGGAGCCAGCGGTGCATTGCCCTCGTCCGGCCGATCGCGTGCAGTTCGCGGGGGTGGTGAGCCACCCGGAAGAGATCGATCCTCCGCAACGGTGCGCGCACGTGCTCGGGGGAGGCCGACGGTCGCGCGAGTCACTTCAGCTGCTGCATGGGGAGCGAATTACGGTGAGTACACCTACCCACGCACACGCACACGCACACGCACACGCACACGCGCGCTCCCAGAGCCATTGGTAGAGGCGTAGGCGGGCGGGCCGGCGGACGTGGGGGGGATGGGGGGATGGGGGGATGGGGGATGGGGGGGGGGGGACGACGACGACGACGACGACGACGACGACGACGACGACGGAGACGAAAACAGTTAATTGTCGGACGGGTAAAGTCTGGTGAGCTCGAATTTTTTTCTCACTCAAGATGTCAGGGTAATTAGACCGGGAGAATGTCCGAGAAGGACCCAGAGGTAATTAATTAATATGGCTGGGCCGCGAGATTAGATGCGGCGGGTCGCTTTCACTCATGGATTATTTAACAGGAGCGACGAGCCCCTCGGCTTCCCCGAGAAAGACTGCTCTTTCTCTTCCTTTAATTACGCTACATCCTGTTAATACGTATGTCGCCTTCCCTCTTGAATCTTCTCGTAATCGCCCTGAGACTCGCGAATTCGTAACAGAGCCATAACATAAGTTCAAAGGCTTCAAATGGATCGCGTCGCTGTTTGCCGAGAAATCGTGTAGAATGAGAAGTGGCCGCGTTGTGCGGCAGCTCATACAGCTCGTAAATTTATCAATTATTTCGATTACAATATGTAGCGTATTTGTGAGGAGACGTGCATATAGAATTGCCGTGACGAGAAATTTAAAAAGTATTAGGTGGTATATAAAAGGTTATATAAATCGAATGGATCATTAGCTTGACGACTCGCAACGCAATTAAATCGGCAAGAATTATGACCTAACCTCTCTTAATTATCACTTTAATCTAATAAATTGCACGTATAAATACAAAATTTTCATTTAGAATTCGTAGTGATGAAAAACAAAAACATAAAACAAAAAACAAAAACAGAAGAAAATGAAAAAGAAAAAGAAAAAGAAAAAAAAGATTCATAACTTTTCGTGTAAGAGTATAATTTCTCAACAATCTCGTACTAAATGTAAAACTCGTACAAAGTTAAAAATCATTCGCGTCCATTATAATTTAAACGTTTGACAAACTTTAATCGCGATTTATAATACAAAGTCCAGCTAAATATGACTCATTCTATTTGCATTTCCTATGCAACTCACACGACACGTGCGCCCATTTAGATGGATCAATTGGTTTAATATGGTTTTTAACGATATTAATTTCTTTTATTATTATTATTTATTGTTATTATGATATTATTATCATTTGATTTGGCACGATGTGAAGTTGTTACGTTAGTTATTTTGATCCTTTGGTTTGAAATTTAATAGCGAAATTGATATGAAAAAAAAAAAAAGAAAAGCAAAAGAATAGTAATAAAAATCAAATAAAATAAAATGTGCACGGGTATAGCAAGTTATATATACCCAAATTGTAAGGATAATTAATATTCTTGCCATTTAACAATATAATATTAGTTGATTGATTTTCATCGATGAGAGAATAAGAATTTTCAATACAACGATTTCGTTGGATATTGGAAGTTTTTTTTATGTAAATCCCTTTGTTCGAAATATTTTAACGATACATTAACTTAAAATTCAAAATACATATTATGGTTGTTCACTTTACTAATGAAAAAATCTACTCATTTTTATATACACCATTTATGTATATTTGCATATTTATTAAACATTTGTATATTCATGTTTAACATTCCGAGGAGAAATAGTATGGAAACAAGGAAATTGCTCACTCAGTTTCTAAAATGTAGTTGAAAGAACTTTTTATATAATTTTTAATGCAAATACACGCGGTTTAATAATCAATAAATGTACATGAGAGTGCTACATTAAGGGATTAATTAATCTAATATGATATGGTATATTATTTTATTATATTTATGTAGAGTTTTTAATTTCATATTTCCCACAACTGTAATTTGAGAATAAAAATAACTTATTTCATATTACAGCGTATATTTTTCTCAAATATACATATCCACACAATAACCCATTACAGCTGTGGGCTGTAGCATAGTAGAATTTTAAATTCTCTGCAATTATTAGGCTTAGAATAATTAATTTTTTCTTGCTTGAACAAGTTCATTTTTTTTTTTTTTTTTTTTTTTTTTTTTTTTTTTTGATTGCTTTCCGATTTAGCTGTATGTGTTGACATAATTAAAGGGCCCTAGTATTGACAAGTGGATTATTATTAAGCAGTTCCACGTCTATAAACGTCTCAATAGTTTTGTCAATAAATGCCTTTAAATGCACAATAATATTGTTGGAAAAAACAATATTTAATGGGCTTTTGTAACTTTCAAAATTATGCCAACCAATTACAAAGGATTTCAAGTTAATATCGATACCTGTAAACTCCACAAAGTTTGAATAATTGACGTGACTTGTAAAACACTAACACAACACAATGCTTAATTTTTGCTCCTTTAATATATAATTTCTTTTGCTGACATGATTCGTGACGAATGTAATCTCTGCATTTTTCAATGACCCGAGAGTTCTATATACCGTTAGCGCGACACAAAAAAAGAAGAAGAAAAAAAGGAAGAAAAAAAATCGAGTACACGGATTAATTTTATTATTTATCTAGGGTGCTTTAATTTTAAACAATATAAATTTATTTGTACATTAATGGCTTGATGGAGATGAGGTTAGATGCACGAGTAAAAAATATTAATCATGTAAACTAAGCGCTTGAAAAATCATAGTATTAACTTTCTCTAGAAAATTCGTATTTACATAGTTTGTCTACCAATCTCTGGTTTTGCTGATGGTTATCCAATACCAAATGTCACTTTGCAATAATTTTAAAACCCTAAGCTTTTAAAATATCTCAACAATAAATCAGTGCAATTAATACAGTTCTGTAACACTTGTACGCTCATTATTTACATGAATTTTCACATTTTGTAGTAGATTAAAAAATAAAAAAAAAAGTATAAAGGTGGAAATGAGGAGGGGGTGGGGGTGGGGGGGGGGGGGGGGGGTGAAGCTGAAGGTGGAGGATACCCGCGACAAGCGAAACACGTCATAAGTTGCTAATAATTTTGTATTGAAAAATCTATATATTCAAATTATTATTAAGATAATGATGTTTATTTTTCTTTTCACTTAATTTGTTAATAATTTAAAAAATGGTTATACGAATGAGTAATTTAAAAATCATTAATTTTCAAGCACTTTTCAATAACTATAATCTTTCAATATAAATTTTCATCTTAACGTGTATTTATGAACTATAAATATTAGAACAAATTGATCAAACATTCGAACATTATTATTTATTATTATTATTACTGGTACAATGTTTAAGCGACATAATAAATTAATTTAAAAATATTAAAAAAATCTCTGATTTATCTAAGAATTTAAGTGGGCTCATTGCAATTGGCATAATCCAGTGATTTTGAATACCTTTATTGAATATTTTCATTCGGAGACGACATTTATTTCGATAAGATTTTCATCATAAATCATAAATCATAATTGTCAAATTCATAAAGCTCTCTCCTCTTCCCTCTCGTCCCCTCCCCCTCCCCCATACCAAACAAATTGAAAGAATTGGACGAATTTCAATTTAGTTGTATATCGATACTTGTAAATTAAACGGTTCATTCGTGGTCTGGTAATAATCAGTATTGTATCAATCCATTTGTAATAATCAGCTGTCGATGTATTAACTTTGGCCTCTCCTCTGCGCTGCCAAGCAACTTTCACTTTGCCTGCAATCGATGACAGGCACTCGAAAGAAATGGCGATTAAGCCTCGTTAATCCGCAGAAAGAGTGGCTCGTCCGAATCGGAGATTAGCAAGGAGTTGAGATAAAATGGGAAATAGAATTACTCGCTCGTCCGAGTAATCGTGTATAATTTGGCGTGGCGCGACGCGAGCGACGAGCGACTGCGATTTTGCCGTTAGCGCGCACGTGCGGGTTTGACTCGGATCGACTAAATAGATCGTCGTGAAATTGTTGGCATCACATTGCAGTGAAACGGAAGTGCGTGGGTTGGGTTTAAGTGGCTGGCGACGAGGTGGAGTGGGAGCGGGTGGGGTGGCACACAATTCGCTAATAATTTGGTGACGTTGTTGCAGGCCCGCTGAGCGAGGGGGGATCGATGCCGAGGCCCCAAGCGCGATAAGGATGCCGAGCATCCCGAGAGCCGGTTGAGAGAGAGAGAGAGAGAGAGAGAGAGAGAGAGAGAGAGAGAGAGAGAGAGAAAGCGAATTAAGAGGAGGGTATGCTCGGGGTGGCCGTCGAGGGGCAGGAGCTTGCGGCACCGACGCAACCCGGCACGAGCCCCGAGACAGCCGAGCGACAGCGGGAGGCGAAGCCGGACATGGCCACCAGCCTCGTAGCCGCCTCTCCGAGGCGCCAGATCCCCAGCACCCAGTCACCGAGGATGATGCGTCGCGGCAGAGACGAGGAGCACGAGGTGAGAACGATATCCTACCCCGTCACTTTCTTTGACCATCGGCGGCCTTCTACGACGACGTTCTCGGCGCGAATCCTAATGGCCGCGAGATCGATATACCGGGATCTTGGATCGTTCACGGTTATTGCGAGGACTCGACTGATGATACCTCGTGTAGGCTGTGGTCCAAATCTATATTTTGCTAGCTCCAACACTCGACGAAGATGAAATGATGGGCGCGGGCGCGGTAAGTTTACTCGAGCTTGGAGTAGAGCCGACGGTTAAGTGGTTCGCAACTTTCCAGTTAATAAGTACGGTTTACTTTTGTAATTAACTTTTGCCAGATCATGCCTCTTGGAAATGATTAATTGTTAATTAATATATATTTAATTCATTAATTGTTAATTAATGAATAAATTGTTAATTCATCCGTAATATTGCCAGCCTTTTTGTTTTGTAATAAAATTAACTGCGTAATATAGCGCTTCGATTTGATTGAAATATTGATTAAATTAAGAACAAAGGACGAAGTGGTAGATCGATGAAATTATTTGCAGCGATAATTCGAACAGATATATCGAAATATCAATTATAAATCGTTAAATCGATTAAATTTAAAGCTTTTGCCCAAGCACGAGCATCCAGTGTAACATAATAAATAATGTCCAATGAATTGTTATTTACCGCGAAACGTGGAGCTCGACAAGTTAAGGTCCATTTAATTTATGGTAAATATCAGTTATTTCATGTTTGAAGAAATAAGAATCTCAACATAACATTTATAATTTAATATTTTCAGAGATTCGTTCTTTCGTATTTAAAATAAGTCAAACAGTTATAATTATCGACAATTTACATGCAAATTAATCTCGATAATTGACAATTAAAAATCAACAATTTTATTGAGAGGATTGATTATAATCGAAAAATCTAATATAAATTGTGAATTCTTGTATTATTAATGTTTATGAAATAAAAATATTCCGTTAATTAAATAATTTTCATCAAGCTTTTATTTCTCCTTTATTTCTGATTGAAATTTACTTTTTTTTTTTTTTTTTTTTTTTTTTTTTTAAAGTTTACTCACACTATTTTAGATGAAATTTGTGAATGAAAAGTGGCGATTACTTAAGAGTAAAAATGCTGATTGTTTAGATCAATTAAATTTATGTAAATTAATGGCATTTATTCAATATTATCTATTCAATTTGCTAATCGGCGGGCACATGGATTTATATCCTCGCGATTCCTAAGATAATAAAATTCTGTTGCGAAAGTTAAAAATAAATGTACGCGCTGTAGTTGGATAGATCGAGGTAACAAAGTTTATAAATTTTCACTGATCTAATTTATTAATGAATCCTGTCTTTTATATCAGACTATAATATTTTATCTTAAAATTTAATGTTTCTCCCCTCCTAAAGATTTCACTTCTCTAAATTTCCCTTTAAAATAGTAGCGCTAACGTTAAAATTTATCACAATTATGTCTTTATCTTTTAGTTTTAAACACCAAATTTACAGTTTTGCTGTTTGGTCGAAAATAAGATTTATAAAACCAAAGGGAAAGGCTCGCGTCTTATCTCTTGAATTAAAATTTAGTTTAAAAAGAAAAAAAAAGAAAGAGGATTATTTAGTTAAATAAATTATAAAATATCCCGGTATTGATAATCATATATACTAAGGTGATAAAATTAAAAATATTTTTACGATATTGTGGAACGGTATGAAAATGTAAACGTGAAATATTTTTTTAAAGAATAAAATCCCCATCAATTAATAAAATTGTTTTTACTTTATATTTCATTTAGTAAAATAATGTCTGAGTAAATTAATGATTATAAATAAAATAGTGTTTATTGTGTAATGACGCTCAATAGAAAAGTCATTCATTGTCGTGAGAAATAGTGTCGTTTCGTTAAACCCAATACATAATAAATGTCATTATGATTAGGATAAGAGTGAGATAATATAGATCTTCATATTTATTATTTCACGTGTAAATATAATTTTAATCCTTTTATCCATATATTTTCATAATTCGTTGAAATAATTTTAATGTAAAATCATTTCAACAATAATCATATTTATTACTATAAATCATAAAAATGATGGATTAATATGTATAGAGAGTTTGAATTTGTAAGAAATTAGTATAAATTGAATGATAAAAAATCAAAATTACTATTTTCAAATATAAAATAACGTGTATATTTACAATATTATCATTAATTAAAATAATAATAATGGACCGTTAGAGATAGTTGTTTCTGTTTTATTCTTTCTTTCTTTATTTTATGATTATTATTATTATTATTATCATTGTTATTGTTGTTGTTATTATTATTATTATTGTTATTATTATTATTATTATTATTATTATTGTTGTTATTATTGTTGTTATTATTGTTGTTATTATTGTTATTGTCGTTGTTGTTATAATTATTATTATTATTGTTGTTGTTGTTATTATTATTATTATTATTATTATTATTATTCTTCACCTAGGTCAAATCATACTTTCTCTTTTATTAATTTATCAAAGAAATTTTAGTAAATAGCGAAAATTTATCTTGTAATGAAAATTCTTATGTCAAGTCTGAGTAATTAATTAGGTAAATATTATTCAATCCAAGTATAAGAAATAAGCTTGAAGTGAAATTTTATTAACTAAACAAACATGAAATTGCAGTGACCTTATGCAAGTACAATATTTCAATACCTAAACTCACAATGTTAACTTGGAAGGGTGCGTGACTGTTTTGAAAATTGATATTTTGATTAAATTCAACACGGCCTAAATGTCTAAATTGAAGCTTATTGCCACAACGTTTGTATCCTCTCTGTAATCACCGACCCGAATCCTTAGCGCGCCGATTGCTGATAGGAAGGTAAACGTGATTAGATTAGGTGCGAAGGAGCTAGCTACGAGTGTCGCGAGTCCGGTGACTTTAATTACAAATAGCACCAACAGTCGATGACCAAACAACAAATCAAGTAAAAATCGTCGGTGTCTCTCTGTGACGTCAATCAAGCGCCAATTATAAATAACGAAAAACAGAAAAATAAAAGCAGAAAAGAAAAAAGAAAAAAACAAAACGAAGAAATAAGTGTCGAAGCAAGGTAAGGTAGTTTGAGCGGCTGGATGATGAACAGCGGCACCGATCGGTCAGGTAGGGAAGTCCGTAGGGGCTGGGAAGTTCCTCCGGCCGAGCGTCAAATCCGAGCCCCCGACGGCATCGTCCTGTGGGCTTGGGGGCCGTCGAGTGCGTGGGTCGGCTCGCGCCGATGCACACACTCGACGGCCGGATAAATCCTTGGTCGGCTCTTTGTGTGCTTATGTGGTAAGGAGGGCGCGAAGGGCGCAGCCGCGGACGGTGCTGCCGTCGGAGCGAGTCAGGCGAAGAAGAAGCCGCCGGAGGAGGAAAGCAGCGGCACACCGGCGCACTTCGACATGGACGAGGTGCCCGAGGATGAGGAGGATGAAGAGGAGGAGGAGGATGAGGAGGAGGATGAGGAGGAGGAGGATGAGG